AAATCCCAGAGGACTGGAAGAGGGCCAATGTTGTGCCATCTTCAAGAAGGGGAAGCGTGAAGACCCAGGAAACTTCAGGCCAATTAGCTTAACTTCTATTCCAGGGAAAATCCTAGAAACATTCATCAAAAAGACTTCCTAATCCTTTCCCACCCCCACAATTTGCAGCCACTTCTCCCATACCCCCAATTCATACGTGCCATACTCTTCCTTTACCCCGAAGTCCTCCCATACAGACCTATGCCAAGCAGTCTGGAGTTCGCTATGACAATGTGACGTTGCATAGATCCAATGATGGATGCTGCACGGTTGCAGGGCAGTCACGCAGAATTTAAGGAGTTAAGTCACAAGGTTTCCTTGTGAGGCCCCATTAAGCAATACAAGTGAGTCCTGTGTAAAAGGATTTTTAATTCATCGTTACAAGTGCTGGTAATGAAGAGGATGCATGCTGGAAATGTCAGACAATCCATAAAGAGCCAGTGCTGCAGGATTTATCACCCTCGCATCACATTGCTCCATCACTCCACCTGAATAATGAATGCTTTTTACATTCACATTTGTGTACAAAACCCATTTGCACAATAGAGGAATAACTCTCAAAGCAGAGAGAGATTCTTCCTAATCTCCCATCCAGGACTTGGCTTGGCTGCCTGCACTAAATAGCAGCACAGTTAACAAATACATCAACACTACCCAATACATCAATGCTTACCTCACCTTCCCCCACCACATTCCTCTCCCAACATCCCAAAACCAATTCCTGCACTACAGAAAGCCAAAAGCACAATTAACTAGCAAATGCACCTATACTGACAGGTCATTAAGAACCAGCTAGAGGAATCCAGCGCCCTGTTCAATCACCCCCTGGTGATCACCAAAATGAGGCACTGCAGCCTCCCTGGAATAGAGCTAGACCATATGCCGTTAGCTAGAATTCTGCTAGCATCTTTCCCACAGATTTCCTCGCGACAGAGAGGACCTCCAGGAGGCAGTGCATTGAGTATGTACATGGGAAAGCATTCCCAATGGACAAAGTGAAACCCCTGAAATAAGAGTGGAATCTCTCAGATATATCCATAGGTTGCTGCATCCTGGGGCACTTAAGGGATACATACATTGAGAACCCCTCTTTCAACCCTGGCTGCTTTGGACTCCTAGACAAAACCAAGCCCTGCTCTCACTCCAACAACACCCAGGAGACGACACCTACCAGTTTCCACCTCTGCTCTGGAATAGCACTGATGTCCACAGGATGACGTTCTATTACATTGAGAAAACGGGCCTCTGGGACAGCGATAGCACAGATTATATGGACCCACCTGGAAATAAATGAAAGAAATCAGAAACTACCCTATATGGATTTTCAGAATTTTTGCGGTGTATTCATGGAGTGTGTAAACTCTAGGGGGCAGTTGACATTTCTCCCATTGTTCCTTCCATAGTGTCTGGACATATTTATGGGGTTGGCAGCACTGGTAATATTCCCATCTGGTTATTAATGGAGTGACACAAGATAAAGGGCCCTAGAACAATTGCAGTCAACCGTCTTCATTAGGCAGCTGATCTTGCGTGATGCTGAGCTCTCCTTGAAAAGCGCTCCCTTTGAGAACAAGGGAATTCCAAGGTGTTTTGTGCCTTGGAGAGAAGAAACAGTAGGGTGGGTAGCAGAAACTTTCAATCTCATCCTGCCCATCATCTGGAGAGCAACAGCAAGCACAGCCAAACCTAGATGTCACACACTTGGGCATCCTCACCAGCCCCTCATAAAACAATCAGATGACTCATGCTAGCGGCTGCTATCAGTGCCCTAGTACACGTACAAGGCATCCTACATGGTACCCACCGTCCATCAGTGGTCATCTGAAGAGCTCCACCCCTGAGATTACATAGACAGCAATCCTGGAATAGGAAAAACAAAGATCAAGAACATCCAAGGAGCACCCTGAAACCTCTACCCTTCCCTCAGAGATTTACTATACTGGTACAACAAGGCACAGGACATTTTTTTGCCATCATTCCCTCCCGTATTGATGCTTCCTGTTAATTCCCCCCTCCACGCCCCCTGACAATTTCCCTTTTCAGTCTCCCCTAGAGTGGATGCTTACCGCTGCCCATGCATTGGCTGAGCACCGTGAACAAGACCAACTTTCATTCACCAGATCTGGACGTATTCCATAACAGCCTGAAAGAAAATCAAAGCACATGCCTCAGAACCTCTGGAACAAGCCTCCATTGTAGGCAGGAGCCAACTCTGGGGAAGGGTGACTGAGACGGGCGAGCACTAATGAAAGCGCAGGAAATCCATATTCTCCCAACAGCCAGAACTGTAATAGCCTGGTGGTCCAGTCAAGAGACGGGTCTCACAAGTGAAATGCCTGTTCTTGCAGTCAATGGAGGCATCCAAAGGGTTAAGGACAATCAAACTGGTATTAACATGAGCAGAGGAGCAGGAGCTTAACTGGGTGAATGAATGCAAAACGATCCAGCAGTGGGGAACTGAACACTGTGCAATTACTGCTGCCCATTGAATCTGACACTATTTAAAGCACCAGGGCAAAATTCCAGATTGGCTGCAGCGTTCGTTCCATCTACCTTAAGTATTTTTATGACCTCCGTAAGTGTTGTATTTGAGCAGTTAAGAATTTTAATGTATTTACTATCAATACCCCTGCAAGGCTTGGCAGAGTTGTTATCCCTGTTTTACACATGGGGGACCAAAACACAGAGACCAAGCACTGCATTTATTAATCCATTTAAGCACCTGATCACTGCCAATTTCTATGGAAGGGAGGCACCAAATCTGAACCTGCAGCTTGCCCAAA